GGGGGGGGGGCATTTTCAACTCAACCCAACACAATCTTGGGAGCTCCTTACTTTCACGCTTTCATTTATCCATTTATTGATAAAAATCACCAAATCACCATGGCCCAAAAGCAGTAGCTGTAGCCTGCAGGAGAAACACAAAGCGATTCCAGCGACGCATTTAAACGCCACTCAGCCACAAATAACTGGACTTAGAACCGCATGCAAAGCTTAAAACTATGTGTGCCTGGCTTTTTCTGGGGCATTTGGCAGAACCGGCAACGCTAACAGAACGTTACCTCCCAGTTAATGGGGTTCTGACACGCAGGGATCCCGCAGATGTGCAGCCGGAATGGAACATGATCTCAAAATCAGTCAGATGTTGTGATTAAGTTTGACTTTCAAGCAAGGGAATCTTGAATATGAGCCGTATATAATTATGCCGCTTTTTTAATTCCTCAGCAAACATTTTCAGCTGAAATAACACATTTCTCGCACATTTGCTTGTGGAGTTTCTCTGCATTATGAATATGGATTTTTTTTATCTTGTATTCAAGTAAAACAAGGATGTCATAGAGAGATTTCACTTTTCTAAGATATGCTTCCTGAAAGTAACATTAATGAAATTACGTAAAGTAAAAAAGAGGAAGTTATGCAGAAGGCTGCATGTGGAGATATATACATGAGGTGAAAGAGCAGGAAGGTGCCTCAGACAGCTGGGATTTTCCTTGATTGATTCTGTAGGTAGCTGCTTGTATCCGAGCGACACTGAACATCAATGAACAGATTGAGGAAAAAAATAAACACAGGATCTTCTCACTTTCACCAAGCAGGTAAATGTGTCGAGATCATCATAATACTGCAATACTCCTGATTCCAAACAACTGACGGGACCTTCCTCCATCCGTCACGTCCGAGCATTATGAACTGGTTATGGCAGAAAAACTGGGATTTTTCTTATAATGAGCAGGGTTGAGTTTAGGGTTTGAGGTTGTGAATCTCAGTGTCATCCAGTCAAAACCTTGACCTATGCTGAGCACATGATTTCCCACTGACACTGAGTAGCCAGCAGTGAGTGAAATTAGCTTGGCGGTGGGGAGACAAGATTATCGGGGGTTACAGGGAAAATGGCCGCCATGAGAAGGACACAAGAGGCCAGAGTCTTTCCTTAATGTAGACGCTTAATTGAGCTCCATCAGCCGAACATCTTTGCGATGTTCCCATAATTCTGCAGCGGCGTTTCCGACAAGTTCAGCCCCATATCAGCCCTGGAAATGGCTACGGATCACTGGGAAGAGCTGCTACAGAACCCTAATGATACATTTTCCGGCATAATAAGACCCCTTTGGAGATTTACTATACAGTCCTCTTTTAATGCATGAAGCACAAGGTCAAGGATAAGATCGCGGTTGATAAAATTAACTACTGTCTCCAATGTAATTAACTTCTAAGCAATCCTTGAACCCTTTCACGAGGAGACCTCATTATATCAGAAGCCACTCCCAGCAGGGCCACTGTGGCTGCGACACTCGTACTGGGATTTGCACGAGGGTGACGCAACTGGCTGCCGCTAATTAAAACGCGCGGCACCAGCGGCCAGCCCCCGCTCTCAGGCGACGGCCGAGGCCCCCGGCGGAGGGGCCGCCAAAACACCAGAGGGAGGCCTGATCCCCCAGCGTCAAAGTGGGGTTAATAGCATCCGCCCCCTACCCACTCATGTGTCTCCCAGAACAAACGCCACGGAGACGGCCTCCGAAGAACCAAACCCTGCCTTCCCATCGACCTGCTTGGCAAAGGCCCCAGCATTGATGGTTTATACCCAAAGGTGGAAAGTTCAGGTCCAGAAAGTACAAATCCAGGCTCAACTAGTTGGTTGAAACAAAACCTTGGCCTGGATTTGTACTTTCTGGACCTGAACTCCATCTCTTTGTATACCCTTCCCTTGCTGCTTTGCTCCATCAAAACGACGACAAGCCCACCTAACAATTTAGACTGTGGAGGTGAGTCAGACTCCAGGGCTAATGGGCAGACGGAGAAAGAGGCTTTTCGAACGCATCCCTGACATCGTTTCATTCAGTTACGTCGCCTTATCTGCTAGGTTTGGGCAGTTTATCTTATCAGCTGAACCATACTGCCACCTATTGATAAAGACGATCCCTTATTTTTCATCGGAGTCGGTGACGGCACAAGCTATCACAGTGGGACTCGGGGCAAATTAGAAAATAATAGACTGTTATTTAACCTTTCCTTTGAACAGCACTGGGCTTTAATAGTTCCCATGCTTCGTATACACGCCAGAATAACATTTTAGTTTTTAATGAGAATTCAGTGAAATTGAAAGTTTCTCATGCCTACGTATTCTATGATGAACATATGTTTCAAAATTCCATATTTCTACGGAAATTCATACTAATACACCGAACAATTAGAAACGGAGAACAATTGGAATTGTGTCGGATAGCATGATGTCAGAATACATTCCTGTGTGGAATACAATAAATGAAAATGAAAAACTTGTATACAATGAATAGATTTGTTAGGATACATTTTTCCGCAGTGCCTTAATTAAACATACAGAAACGGGGAGGGGTCAACACTTATAGGAACAGTGACCCCTCAGCCTGCGGATGGGACTTTGTGAGTCCATCACTCTCCTGCTGCAATCACATTTGTTGGAGAGAAGCAGGAGGGACCTGGGGGTGGGACATGAAGCCTTCAAGATGATGCAAGTCTCAGTTTACCCCAAATATTTAATATCAACCCATAGGGGAGACGGATGGGTAACCAACCCATAGGGGAGACGGATGGGTAACCAGGCTGTTTTGCAAACATCCCTGGGAGTAAAGTGTGGCAGATCAGTGCAGCCCATCGCACCATCGAAGATAGCGAAGTGCCCAAAGGCATCGCCATGGTGACTCCTGGAAACAGAAACATTCTGGCCCTGTTTGCAGCCCGGCGGTGGGGACAGCGCATCCACAACCCCCCCCCCCAGGGGCGGGGCTGCCCCCCCCCCCGGGGGTTCCCCCACCAAAACCCCCCCCCCCCCCCCAGCTCTGCCTACCCAGCCAGGGCGACATAAATCTGGCCGTAATCCTGCTAAGTGTGAAAGTTCCCCCATGATTTGGGGGGGAGGGGGGGGTGTGGGAGCCCTGCATGGGGTGGGGGGTCGGGGGGTGAGGGCAGGGTCCTTACAATAAGCCCGACTGGCCCTGCTGGGCCTGGACAGCCGACCAGATGGTGCAGCATTAGCGCAACAATAGCAATCTAATTAGATAAAGACTGGGGGCCGGGGGTGGGGGCGTGGCTGATTACAAGGGACTGCCAGGCGAGAGGAAGATGGAGCAAAACTGGGCTGGCCCCCGTTTGAAGGGGGTTCCCCCCCCCCCCCGCCTTTGTGCTAATAAAAGGAAGTATGACTTTATTACCTCTCATTATCACAAATTAGGCCACTTGAGCCCTTGAATGGAACTGACAGGTTGAATTAAGTGTCTGAAAACAAATCAATCCTCACCCCGCCCTGGCCACCTTGCTGCCTTATTGTGTTAACACTCCAAGGGTGGATGGAGGGGGTCCCGCGGGGGCTCCGAGCTCCCGATCCGTCTACCGACTTCATGATGGAACCGTGAATTCGTTTCATGGCTCTTGATTCGTGTAGGAGGAGTTTAAATGCGATCGGTTCCAAAGTTGTGTGTTTTTGCTGATAGCAGACTGATCATTTATTTTGATCAAACAGGATAACAGTGTAAAGAAACATTTAGACCACAAACCCTAGAGAGCACTTCTGTATGAATACATGTAGCAATTTATATGAATAACCTAACAGTGCAGCCTTTTCACAGAATGTTGAATAATATAAATATAAATAACACACAGTCGTTCATATTTGTTGCACCACGTCCTCCTTTAATATCCTCCTGAGTCCCCACCCATTCATTTATGTCCATTGTAGTGGACATTTTGTTTTTGCATCTATCTTTTCACTGATGTAAGGAAACATATTTGTTCCTTGAATTTGAAAAAAGATGTCTTATTTCCTCCAAAGACATAGAAAATCACAATTAACCTAAAACTGAAGGACACTTTTTTCCCTGGCTCTCAGGAGGGTGTTTAATTCTACATGATGTGCATTAAAATAGCCCCTCACACTATCTGACAGCTTAGCTTTTCTATACCTGGGATTTCAGATGAAGTGAATTCCTTGCAAAACGCAACCCAGATACTGAGTTAGGACTTTACAAGAATCTGCAGGATGTATTTAATGTGTCAAAGTCCCAGAGCGACGGGCGTCCTGCTCCTCCCCCAGCCTGTCAGGGAGCGACCCCCCCCCCCCCCACGTGGGGAGATCCTTGACGTAATGGATTCCCTCAGCCCATGGGATGCGTCCCACATCCTGCAGGTCTCTGCAAGTGCGTCCCGCTGACTGCTGATGCCAAGGGTTCGACCCTTCTCTCCTTATGTCTTCATTTAAAAAAATAAGTTGTTCGGCAGGATTTACCGTGGTTTTATTCTAAACAATTCGATCACATGTCAGGCGGTTTTGAAAGTGAAATGATTGATAAAATAGATAATGGGTCATAAGTGCAATCGGCAAGACTTTTCATTCCAAAAAGTACTTAAGCAACATTCTCAGTTTGCTCAGTGTGGTCAGTGCTCATTTTGTGAATGTTTTATAAATGAGCGTCCCTTGTGCCATTTCATTTCTACGGGGAAAACTCCAATCCCAACATGACGACCCTAACCCTAAAGCCATAACTTTAATCATAAGTAACCAAACAAAATAGGAGACTTTTGGCATTTTTTAATTTTCCATTGCATTTAAGGATCTTTGTGGGGACCTGAAAAATTGTCCCCACAACATCAAAATTGGTCCCCATAATGCAATATAAACCTAATCCACTAACACACACACACACACACACCACACATTTGCTTCCCTAATCTAATGAGGTCATAGAAGAAGGAGATGAAGGCCGTCAGGCTGCCTGGCAAAGGAAACCCATTCTGCGCATGCCAAGTCTCGGGATATTGAGATAATGAAACATGGCTCCTATAGCCTATCAGGAAAGTTATGAAAGATTACGGCTAATGCGCGTCCGTCTCCAGTAAAGCCGGGAAGATACTCCAGATTGGTATCCTCATAGTGAGTAAAGGGGGGCTGAACTTCAGAGCGACTGTCTACTTGCACAATTATAGGCTAAACACGAACAGGTCGTACACAGCTATCACTGATAAACACCCGAGCATGTAATACGAATTGCTAACGAAGTAGCTTATTATCTGTAAAAAAAGAAAAAGAAAGAAGGTAAGAGAGTACATTTGCGTGCGGCGGTGATGCTTTTCACCGTCTTTTACCTAATTCACATTATTTATCACATCATCCTCACTGGTAACCCAGCTGCCTAAATAATAGCTGTTTGGCCAGGAAAGCCAGCAAAATACTGCGCGACCCTTGTTTTAGCTACGTTTGGTTAGAATAACTTAGATCGTTACGATTCGTTAGTTAGTTATAGTTAGTCACATTCTTGTACGCTGTATGCTTGTGGTCGCCATATAAAAACACTAAAACAGGACTACTAAAATATACGTACTAAAATATAGAGGTATTTGAAATAAATTTCATATAAAAGAATCACATTTTGTGTAAAATTCACAAGTAATACAAGCCACTCGTTTTATCTAATCAAGACAACCATCGGCACTACAAGCGGCCCAAAGGGGACCAGCAACTGACGGTAATGTTTCCTGAGGTATAGATATTAAATCGGTGCCTGGTGAAAGTGTTATTATTATTACTATTATTATTTTATGTACTTACAGAGCAGTTTTGGGATGAACCACTGATTTATGAAACATACCGTGCATTACTTATTTAATCTATATATTCATTAATAGATTTTTATTGCTATAACTAATTCAAAGTTATATGTATTATCAAAGTTACGTTTATATTTATAATATTAATAACAGTGTTTTTTTTTGTGTTAAACAAGAAAGCCTGTTCGTGGGAACTGACAATTGTGTACTACTGTTAAATCTGAGTTGTCGATTCAATTGACTTCAATAAGACGCTCCTTGCAAGTCGAAAATGTTTACAATGACACCACCTTGTGGAAATTGTTTAGAAATGCAATATTATTACGGTTTTTCTTTATAGAGTACAGAGTTTAATGAAGCTGCAACTCAAAATGAATTATATTGCCTAAGCAGGCAGTGAGGAAAGGGAAATTAAAAGAAAAAAAATCATTTGTTGTACATTCAATGATTTTTTGACTTGTATTTTGTTGTCTCATGTCTGATAAACTTTAAAATTGTAAAACTGTATTATAATCAGTCACATATGTATGTCGGCCAACTCATCTTAACAATCAGTGTTTGTGTCAGATTTTTCCATTCTTTCCATCTCTTGGTAGAAAAGGGAAAACTCTGAGGAGAAGCTTCCGGAACATGCTTCGAGGTCTTTCATCTGCAGTGAGACACGTGAGAACCACAAAATGGTGAGAGCACTAAATATGATTAGGTTATGAGATAGTAGATTTCACTTGCTACATGTTGCCAATGTCGCGGGTTCTGTTTGTAGCTGTGGCTGTTGGCTGTTTTGAAGGGTGAGGAGTTTTTTCTGTTTTGTCTGTTGTGTTCAAAACTCCAAATCACCATTGTGCTCAGTTCCTCATCTGATTACAGTTTTTCCTAATCATTTTCACACTCGTCTCAATACCATGTCCACTTTTTCAAAACACTTCACACTGTGAACTGAACAAACATGCACCTGAGCATATCAGGTGCAAAATGCACTAAAACCACCAAAACACTTCACACTTCATCCAAAAGTGACTCATGCTGCCAAACCTATAGCACACGCACTCTCTCACAAGACGACTTTGTCACACAAAGTACGATGCATGAAAAAACACAAACAACTTGAAGCTCTGCAAAATGCATATATATGGTGTGTTGTTGTATCCAATATTTTCACACAATGTAACAGCTTCAAGCACTGTAAAAAGCTTACAGTGACCTAGGGGGGTGGTGGTGGTCTAGTGGGTAGGGATCTGGCTGGGCTCCCATTAGGAACACCAGAAGGTTGTGAGTTCACTCCCAATACGTGTTGCCATACCCACTGTTTTTGCACAGATTACACTGTGTTGCCTTGCAAAAAGGAAAGGAAAGGAAAGGAAAGGAAAGGGAGGGAGGGAGGGGACTCCATGACCTCATTTGTATAGATGGTAACAAAGCAGCAAACAAAAACAAAAACATAATTATTTGTGTTAGTGCAAGTGCATAATGTCCTTTGTCTGTCAAAATGCAGCATATTTCAATTGACAGTGCTCTAAATTTGATTAGGCTTTGACCTGAAAGTTAACTTTTTAGAACATATTATCTAAATGTCTGAAAAATCGGCTGTAGTTGTACAAAGTTTTGCTGGTGGCGAACACTGACAGAGAGAAGTATTCATGAAATTTGGGGGAAGTGGTGATTGAATGCATATTGTGTCAAAGCAATGCAAATGTATGTATAATTTAGCTCACATGGTCCAATGGCATGGTGCATGTGTTAAGTGTTGTGAAAACGTGGACAGAAATTGTTTTCTTCAATTATCCGATCACTTGCCAATAAAAACCATGTGTAGAAAACAGTAAATACCAATCTCACGTGCTAAAAACAAATAAAATAGTTAATAAAGTTTTTTTTTATCATAGTTTGCCGAACACTGAATTCCTCAAGTTTGTACAATACTGACACCTTGTGGTAACTAGAAAGAACTTACTCAATGACGTAAAATAACATTTACGAAGACGTGTTCACCAAAAACCCCCTGACATTTCTAGGAAAAACTTTGTCCTGTCTATAAAAACTTGCAGCAATGCAAACATTTTTCCCCCACCAGTCTTCCATAAACATTGATCCAGTACAGGGTTCCAGTGTTTCTGTTTAATACTTTGCAGACCAAAATACGTGAAAAGAGAACAGTCGTTCTTTTCTTGTTGTATTTATGCATGTTTGTGTCAATATTTATGACTTTTGAACTTTTTACATAGGCACCAGCTTCAGCTGATGGGTCATGGTTCGAAAATGGTTAAAGTGTGAATCTAGGCAGTCATTTGTTGTGTGTCACATGTAACAGAGGTGGGCTTGTGCCTCAGACTGGACAGGACAGATACTTTATTGTCCACATAGGGAAACTGTTTTTCAGTGAATGAAACATGTCAGACGTCTTTGGCACGACAATACAAGCAGGGTAAACACATAAGACATTTCGACCCTTAACATAGTACACCAGTCATAACACAATATAATATTGTACTTCCTGGACTAAAACATAGACTAGCATAGGTAACTTCACACCTATGGTAACTTCACGCTTCTCCTCGCCAGGACCATGTGTGCAGGGACCTTTTTCCCCCCTGCAGTCAAAGAAGACAAGAATCGGCATCTCTGCTCAGCCCAGTGCGTGCTGCAGTGCAGGCTCCAAACTCACTGCGACACTAAACTGGATAAGTGATAAGGAAGATTTATGGATGTACTAATTACTTAAGGTTTAAGCTGAAGTTTTACTTTTATTGCATTCACCATTTTTGTATCATACAAACATAGGCGGTTCACTTGTATCAGCGTTTGTCCTTCACCTCTGTTAGCTGTCTCCCTTCATTCCAAGAAGCTATAACCACTGCCTGAACTAAGCTACATTATTCATTGTCTTTCAACGGGGAAAAATGAACGTGCACTCACTTTGTGTTCAGAACAGTACAGACATTATTCATACTTTAAGATGTACCCACTTAACTTCCGAATGGATCGACTTGTGTTATTTTTAGTTATGCATGAGTAGTAAATATGTGACTGCAGTGTTTTTCTACTGAAAAAAATCCATGCTTATTTTGTTTCAAACCAGGTCAGAGTAGACACCTCAAAGTCTTATTTGAATAGCAAGGGCCAGTCATAAGCCTATTTCCATGAAATACACTACCTAGAGTGAAGGTCAGTAATTTGAGTCATTTCAAGTCGGTAGATTAAGAAGAGGAAACAAGCCAAAATTCCTGTCAGTCACACCCTCACAGAATATTACACATGCCCAGGTAGGGGTCTGTGCAGGCAGCACGAATGAAATGATCTCCTTGCGGTTTTGAGGATATAACCATTGACTAAAGAGAGTGACCTGTTCCTTCACGGGCTGGGCACTAAGAATTTAGGGGTGTGTACTGCAAATATTGAATAATACTCTCTCACATGTAAAACGTTATTGTTCACTTAATTATTGACATCGGTATTCTGTATTTTGGGGGTGGGGTGAGGGGCTGTGTTTCTTCTTTCTAAAAAAATCAAAGTGTTTATATAAGAGGCGATGTTTGTCTATTTCTTGCCTGAAGGCACAGGGGTGATTTTCCTTTTCCCACATAAATTTCTTTATCCAAGCTTTTAGTTGAGGATGGGGGATCTGCTTCAAGCATGCATTGGATTACAGGAACGTCAACAAGGACACACCCATACAAAAAGCAGATGGTCCTCTTGTTTGGTGGGCTTATGGGCAAAGTTACTCTGTGTGAAATATCACGCCATTACCGGTCTCAGTTCATCCGGTCAGAGTGATTTTCTCGACTCTATCACTCTTTTTCTCTCCATGAATGCTCACGCTCTTCAGAATATCCTTGTCTGAGGTCTTTCTCTGGTGGGTTTTTTGTTATTTTGTCCCGGAGTTTTTGAAGCATCATTTTTCACAATTTCATTGCCCATTGAAGCTCTGAAGCTCTCTTATATTATCCAATAAACTGCGACTTTACAGAAGAGACACAGGTTACAAGCAGAGAAATTCCACATTGGAAAATGAATGCCAGTCTGTTTTCTGAGTTAAGTAAAAAAACTTGTGTCTAAAACGGACAAGGCCGAGAATTACCCTTAGAGGGAAAAGAAGTTTTTTCCAATCGTTTTCACACTCATCTCAATACCATGTCCACGCTTTCAAAACACTTCACACTGTGAACTTTACAAAGAGGCACCTGAGCATATCAGTTAACTTTCGGTGCAAAATGCACTAAAACCACCAAAACACTTCACACTTCACCCAAAAGTGACTCATGCTGCCAAACCTATAGCACACGCACTCTCTCACAAGACGACTTTGTCACACAAAGTACGATGCATGAAAAAACACAAAGAACTTGAAGCTCTGCAAAATGCATATATATGGTGTGTTGTTGTATCCAATATTTTTCACACAATGTTTATTGCAAAGTAAAAGAAAAACGTGACATTTCTTACAGTAAACATTGTAATACAAACAAATAATACAGTAAATAAATTCAGCTGCACAATACACTGGAAAAGAAAAATACATTACAACCACCGACTGAAAGTACATTACATTCAATACAAAAGAAAACAAAAATCTCCAAATACCAAAGTTTCACTGTATACAGTTACGCACACTGTTGTCCTGGCCTGATCCATTCGGTCCTTTGCATTTGGCTATAAATTTTCATCGACATCACAACAAATATTTTCTCTTGCAATACACCGAGGAAAAAGTCTCTTGGAGTGCCTTATCCAGCTCTGGATGTCCTCCACATGGATGTCCACACACCCAGCAGCCATTGCATCTAAAAGCGACATCTGATCATGTGGCCGATGGTCATATACCTTCCATCTCCTTGCAGAAAAAAGAGTATGGTGGCAAAAATAATGACATCATCCTGGGATGGGCAGTAAACCACTCTGTGACTTGGCGGGAATGATGAAAGGCCACAATGTCCCACACAATCACAAATACTGGTAAATTCTTCCTCTCCCTCCTGTGGGGGGTAAACGCTGGATCCTACAGTAGCGGGTTACAGTAAAGACAAACGTGCACCGATGCATAAGTTTTTTTCCCAGACTTTCCTCAAGTCACACCACTATAGTAATATACACATCAATCAAATGCCTTCAGTCAGAATGCTCTAAATAGTGTATAGTATCTGTTGCTTTGCCTGAAAATCCTGACAATTGATGCCTCTGTGGATCTAGGCAGGTGCGGTTGAACTCTTAGACCCGCTTCCCTCAGGGACAGACCATGAGTTACAACATGGTCAATTACTGTGGCTCTGATTTCATCAGTAACCATGGTTCTTCCTCTTCCTCTCCGTTGATGTCTTCTTGCTCTTCCTCTGCCTCTTGCCACATCCATTTTTCACTAGCTAAAGAAAAATGGCAATGGAAAATGCGGATCCAAAGATTTGTACATATGGCAAATTGGCACTAACCACACAAATTCCTAGATAGATGCTTAGCTGAAATTACAGGCAGGTATGTGCTTTCATTCAGCTTTCCAGCTTCAAGCACTGTAAAAAGCTTGGTGGTGATCTAGGGGGATGGTGGTGGTCTAGTAGTTAGGGATCTGGCTGGGCTCCCATTCGGAACACCGGAAGCTTGTGAGTTCACTCCCAGGGGATGCCACCATTGTGCCCCTGAGCAAAGGCCCTTGACCCCAACTTGCTCCAGAAGGACTGTCCCTGTAGATACAGTACTTCACTGTAAGTCGCTTTGGAAAAAAGTACCTGCTAAATGAATAAATGTAAATGTTTTACTGTAATATATGTGTTGCCATACCCACTGTTTTTGCACAGATTACATTGTGTTGCCTTGCAAAAAGGAAAGAGACACTCTATGACCTCATTTGTATAAATGGTAACAAAGCAGCAAACAAAAGCAAAATTATAAAATTTCTGTTAAAGCATAATTATTTGTGTTAGTGCAAGTGCATAGT